AGAAAACCTTCGACTCCGTTGAGACAAAAGTTATCGAAGCCCTGGGCAACCAGGGTATTCCTACTCAGTAGATCAAGGATTCTTCCTAAGCCTAACTTCACGACCAAGATCTCACCATTCTACAAGGAGATCATCATCGATGTGAAGAGAGGGGTCCGACAGGGCCATCTCGCCCAAGCTCTTCAGCGCCTCTCTCGAGAACGTCATGCGTCAACTGGAATGGGAAGACATGGGAGTGAAGATCGACGGTCGGCAACTACACCATCTCCGCTTTGCTGACGACATCGTTTTGATAACACCAAACATCGAGCAAGCGGAACGAATGCTGGCTGATTTCGACTGCGCGTGTGGAAAAATCGGTCTACGGCTGAATCTAACGAAGACGATGTTCATGAGAAACGGATTGGTTTCTGATGCCCCATTCACGCTCAACGGAACGACCATCTCTGAATGCTCTAGCTATGTGTACCTAGGTCGTGAAATCAATATGATGAATGACTTAGCTCCAGAGCTGAGCAGGAGGAAGCGAGCGGCTTGGGGAGCCTTCAAGAACATCGAGGGAGTAGCGAAGAAGACGAAGAACACCAAGCTCCGTGCCCACCTCTTCGATTCCGCGGTCCTTCCTGCCTTGACTTGAAATTGGACTCCACGAAGGCAGGATGAGCAGCGGTTAGCGTCATTCAGCACGCTGTTGAAAGCGTGATGCAGGAGTTTACCGCCACATGCAGAAGAGAGGGAATCACTGGCTACGCACCAGGGTCAAGCATTCCGCCGCGGAAAGTTGGGGGATTTTTATGACCTCCCTCTAGATATGGATGTCCAAAGGGAACAAACGATTGAGCGTAAGACCGCGTCGAATACATATTGAGACTGGAGCGCTGTCGGTCCATAGCACTCACATAGTGATTTTTTCAAAGTGTACACTTCATTTAAAGAGCGCCTTTCGCAGAGCTGTAACGTCGATTCAAGTTGCATGGCAAGGCTCTATACGAAAGGCACTACAAGTTCCATGAAGCTCGCATAACTGCTTCTGGCCAGAAAATAAGGCGGAGCATTTTGGGCGAACACGAGTTCTTTACCTTCTAATGGAAATAACCTCTTTCCTACATAACGTATGTGGAGATGCACATGGCATTAGAAACAAGAAGATTTACTCTTATGTACGGGTGCAAGCTTTGCTGTAGATCAATTATAGCGTCGTCCGTCGCGGAAAATCACACAAATAACGCAGAGAATTTTTGGCAAGCGCGAGTTCAAAGGTCGTAAATTTTTTGAGACATGATGTAGAACGAAGTCTATCTATCGTTGAGAAATAGAAGGTCTTCTCCTTCTAAAGCGCACCACATTTGAGCTGTAGCTCGATTATACTACTATATATAATCGGCTATGTCCGTGTGTGTGTGTGCGTCTGTCTGTTTGTCACGAAATTCATAGCACCTGAAGAAGAGCTTGGAGGGGTCGGGTCATGGTGGGGATGGATAGAGCATGGGACAAAACCTAAATAGCACCCATGACCCATGGTAAGCCCCGCCCACAGGGGGGGCGTGCGTCGAAAGTTAGCGATGTCACTGAAAAAGATCATAACTCGGTCTCCAGGGCAGTCCCCAGATGAGGGAACGGCGCAGTAAAGTCAGCACAGGGCTGACAGAGGAGACACACCCGAGATGGGCGGGGCGTACTTGAGATGGGCGGCGCTTCCCGTGTCACTGAAAAATAGCTATAACTTGGCTACAAAGCAGCCCGGAGACGGGAAAAACTGGGATAAGGTTAGCATGGGGTTGGCAGAGCAAATGGAGGAGACACACCCGAAATGGGCGGGGCGTACTTGAGATGGGCGGCGCTTTCCATAAAAATCGGTAACTCGGTTCCCGAAAATGTTTAGAGATCGCAGAAAACTACGATCTAAGAAAAAAAAAACTAAGATGAACATCTGGCAAGAATCCACCACGTTTGCGGCATGGAGGTTGGCCCGTAGTGGGCGAGGCCTGCATTTGAACACGAGGTACCAGTATAAAAAACCGTAGTTTGGTCCTAAAGCACTACAGATGGCAAAAAAGTGGATTATGGCCCCGACTGATCACATGCAACAACTTGCGAAGCACTCGCACTGTAGGCGTTTAATAAGTAGCCGTTTTGAAAAAATAAATAAAATAGCCGGAGCCGTTTTGTATCTCAGGAGGAGGCGTCAGCCAAAGTATGGCTGAGCTGCTGCATGAGGATCCCCTGCAAAGCCCAGATTCCCATCTAGAAAACTCTAGATGGTTAATGCTGAGCCTCTCGTTCATCTTCTTCACATGTGGTTAACAGGAACTGCAGCACAGTGGCGCTGATCAACACCTCCATGAAATGCGCCATGTATTCGACTTCCTTTCCGAACGCATCACTCACCATGCAAGCTACGTTCCTGCTGTTTTGAGTATTGATACAAATACTATTTTAGGTATGTAACCCCCCCCCCCTCCAGCGGGAAGCCAAATACGGTCCTCCCGTTGCGTTTCCCGCAACGTATGCTTGACACTGACCCGCACTCCGCCAACGATAAAATCACAGACGCAGCCGCATTTGCCAAGATTTCGAAGATCATGCGTTTCGAAGACGACCGCTGGACCAGAGAGATTACCAACTGAATTCCACGGGACGAACCCTGGAAGACCGCCTTTGCGATGGTAAGGTTTCTTTGTGAGAGCTTTGGACAAATAGTGTGAAGTTCATCGTGTCCCTCGAGCAGAGAGAACCCATTGGGCAGCTCTTGCACGTTGCAGGGACGAATGGAGACGTTACTGGTGCGCGCCCTGAGAAACTGGATAATAAAAGGAGCACATGTGGGACAGGTGATACCCTTGTATCAGAAAGGCAACGAGAGGCTGGGTACTATGGCATTGGAGTTCGCTTGTAAATGTAGCACGTTGCAGCGCGTCGGCGCGCTACGGCACGCGACGTCGCAAAATCTGAGCGCTGCTCTAGGTAGATTGACCAGTTTCAAAATATCTATATTCCTTTCTAAGCCGGCTCTGCACCTCCTGTTGATCGTATTATTTGCTAATTGTATTCTTCCTTTTCATGCAAGGTAGCCTAGCCGTTTCCGTTTCAGTCTCATATTATCTTGTTGGACCCCTTCGGCCCTCATACTTGGTAACTGCACCGTCGACTGCGTCCATACTTAGCGACTGGAGCGAACCCGTCGCCTTCTACGACCGACTGCGCCTCATCGCTCTATCGCTGAACCGCTGCAACTGCTCATTCAATCGTATTCAAATTTAAACCTCTACGGCGTGCAGAACGCTCAGCGACATCAGGTTTCTGTAGTCACTGCATCACTAGAGTCGCGAAGTATGAAAAGGCATACCATGGAAACGAGGGTTTTATAGAGATGCCTCGGATAGTGTTACAGCTTAAGACTTTCTAACCTTCTAGTTTCCCTCTTATACATTGGTCTTGGGTTGGGATAACGGTCATGGGTTCTCTTTTGATTATGTTTTTCGTGCGAAAAATTTGCTGGTTATAAGACGTGCTGTTCATGATGTCGAAAAGTTGTTTGTCTGCTTTTACTCAAACTGCGACAGAATGCTGCGTTATGAACTCCATTACTGTGATGACTGTGGACATAATGATGTCACAGCCTTGCAGTACTCGCAATTTAACCACGATTAGCTGCACAGCCACGTCGTTTCAGTGAACGGTGAGGTAGAAGGTTCCAACTCGTCTCATTATGACAGCTGCAGTTTAGCGCTACCAGTGAGTCATCATGCTGAGGAAGAGATGATGATAGGGGGCCCTGTAGAGGTGCTGGATAGCGCTCTGCCTGTTGAGCGCGAGGTACAGAGTCTGCTTTCGAGACTCTCGCTCATAACTCAGCATTTTTGTGATAAGCTCAGCTTCAGATTTTTTTTAATTCATGAAAGCCTGTGGACCCAGTTCACCACTCTCCCTCCTTCATTCACCGTGCGGTCGACCTCACCACTCCTCCACTCCTTGCTCACTCAACCACCGAAGAAAGGAGAGACGGTCCGGTCCAACACGCAGTTGGCTAGCGCGGACCGTATGCCAAAAAGACAGGACCGGCTTCGCATTTGCACCATGAATGTCCGTTCCATTGCCACCGCGGCAAGACTTGCCGACTTCGAAGCCGCGGTCGAGAATGTCAAGTTCGATGTCATTGGAGTCTCGGAGACACGAATGGCTGGCAAAGGAAGAATAGACCTCTCAAGTGGGTACTCTTTATATCATAGTGGTACTGAGGAACGAACCAAAAGAGGTGTAGGATTTTATGTACCGTCATCGTTGAATCAACACAGCGATTGTTTCTTTCATTCTGAACGAATGATTGAGCTTTGCATAAAACTAGCCGATAGGAGCACTCTCCGTATAATACAAGTTCACGCGCCCCATTCAGATTTTCAAGATGTGGAATACGAGGCGTTCTTAGACAATCTTGCTCATGTTCTCGATGCCAGGAGAAGTAAGCACCAAGTGATTCTGGGCGATTTCAACGCAACTCCTGGTTTACGCCGTAATGAAGAGCGATACATTGGTAACAATTCCTCAGGAGCTCGAAATCACCGTGGACAAATGTTGGCCGACTTTTGTGAGGAAAGAAAGCTATTTCTTGCTAACTCGTTCTTCAAAAAGAGACTTGACGATCGGTGGACATGGCG